TCGCCATCTTCAACCCCACCCCCCACTCTTCTTGCTGTTTGGACTGTTTTTTTCTGATTTTCCTTCTGATAATTCTGAATTTACTAATTTTCTGTATTTAGATGTGACTGAGCTACGTCAGTATCTGCAGAAGAAAGGAAACCAACCAGCTCAAAGGTAACATTGTCTTCAGATCATTCTGTCCCTGCAGCCTCCTATAATTATGTGCATGTGGATATCTGTGGTCACCCTCATTGCCTCTATGTGCAGGTCGGAGGAGAAGGAACCCAGTGTCCCTAAACCTCAGACGAATGTCAGGAAACAAGCCGAGAGCAAAGCATCCGGGGCAGTTAAGAAGGAGGTAAGTTGTATATTGTAAAGCGCTGCACAAGCGGATGGTGCGATATAAATCCTGTATAATAATATTAGTGAGAGCACATCTGATTTTTGTTATCAGCCCCCTTTAATTGATCTCTATACGGCCGTCTTACTGACCTCTCCTCTCCCAGATATTGCCTAATCCACGCCGACAGAATGTTACAAAACCATTGAAGAGGCTGGCAGCCCCCGGAGGACGTGGTGGGATCTGGAAATAAGACATCTGCTGACCCCTCGGACTATGAGGTCTCCTTCACACAGTCCATGATTCAATGAGCTATATAGCCTTGGGAAAGGCAATCCGAATACACGAGCAACGAGGGATCTATTGTTTTCTACTGACCCCCAATCCTGCCACCACATGAGGAAACTGCCCCATGGGGGTCTGTTGTATGATCCTCCAGCATTCATGTCAAAGTGCTACAGGTTACCGCAACGCATGCATGTTACACTAGGAATAGGTCTTAAGGAAAGTTTATTTATCAATGTTTAGTACTTTCTCTGTGCTCTTAGTCCTTCCACTTATCATCTTATATGACTAGATTCGGCCTCACACAAACGGTCTCCTGATAGCCCCCCTGCCCCATCACGGTATATTCACCAATTTGTGCTCCTGTGCCAACTTTCTGCTGCAGGAGTCCACCCCGAGTACTCTGATGTTTATGTGGATGATGTCCCTTCGCCCATGTTATGGTGTTTGGGCCTGGCGATTTGGCTGCTTAGGCCCGAGCGCTGACACATTCGGTGATCACATGCTCTCATATGCAAAGGCCCCTCTCTGTTAGGTTGATGGAGAGAGGCCTATGATGGGGCCGGGAAGTGGTAAGAGAACTTACATGGGTGAATATACCTTATGCGGCAGGGTCGGAGGGTGAGCTATCAGAAGACACCATCACTTCTGACTAGGAAAAATGGCAGCGTGTCTTTACGTTCACAAGCATTGTTGACATTAGGGGTGCACCGATACTGATACCGACTATTTGGGAAGTACGGAACTTCCAATATTAGGAGGTCAGGGGGTGAGTCATTACATGTCGCCCGGCTTGCTGATTGGACAGGAAGCTGGCTCCATGCAGGTGACTAAGGAGCATGGAGCTGGCTTCCCGGCCAATCGGAAAGCCAGGCGCCATGTAATGACCCACAACCCAGCTTCCTGATTAGTCAGGAAGCCGGGTGGCGAGTCATTACCCGCCCCCTGGCTTCCTGATTGGTCAGGAAGCCGGCTCAATGTTTCCTCGTCAGCATAGAGCCAGCTGGGCGGCGAGTCATTACACGACGCCCGGCTTCCTGATTGGTCAGGAAGCCGGGTGGCGAGTCATTACCTGCCCCCTGGCTTCCTGATTGGCCGGAAAGCCGGCTCAATGCTTCCTCGTCAGCATGGAGCCATCTTCCCGGCTAATCAGGAAGCCGGGCGGCGAGTCATTACACGCCGCCCGGCTTCCTTAATGGGACTTCTGGTATGCGAAAAACATTATCGGTACTCGATGCCGAAAAATCGGTATCGGTGCTCCCCTAGCTGACATGACCCATCAATATAAGACATTGTCATTTTAGCTCCTGTACATTATCCGTGGTAGCTACAATTAATCTTGGGACAACACCGTCCTAAGTGATGATGAAATCTTTTTAAACAATTTTTTTTAACATACATCACATAACATACAAATTTATAGTTTTTAATATTCTCCACAGTTGCCATTTTGTAACATCCTACTGTGTGTAGATGAAAGAGGATAGCCGTGTCCAGGAGTAAAGAGATTATTGTCCTGTTAACAGAGCTTAATCGTACTTATAAGCTCCACTAGAGGGTGAAACGTGTCAAAGACGGCAGGCCAACTACATTTGTGCTGTGTGGTAACACATGTGCCTTAAGATGGGTTAACATGCATTGCGTTGAGGCAAATCAACTGGCAATAATGAGCTGCCAGTGCACCAAAAATCAGATGCATCAAATAAAAGTCCCTATGATGCGTCGCCGTATGCTGCAGCACAAGGGCGTTGGGGAGACATTGAAAAGGAATGTCTGTAATATGCATTGCACGCATTATCTCGACGCAGTCGTGTGAATGAGACCCCAAGAAGCAGAAACCTTTCCGGAAAGTTCTAAAAGCGAACAATGCATTTTTTTTATAATCTGAGGGTTACATTCTGCGTCACTTCTGCTACTTTGACGTCTTGTATGTACAGTGTAAAATATTGAATGTACCATCTCCGTGCCTAGGGGGGTACAGTGTCACGTGGACTGTACCACCGTCACCTCCTAGTGCCAACAACACCGTCTGCCTTTTTACTACGGATTTATTCTTAACGGTTTTTGAGAAAGATATCACAATCTTTTCTATCTGTACATTTTGTTTGCTGTGTATTTATTATTTATAAAATATTTTGTATGAGATGGGGTTTTATTTTCAATAAAACTTTTATGCTTACCTGTTTGCGTTATTTATAGGAAAATGTATATATATTTTTTTATTTTCAATAAAAAGATTTAAAGCTGCACTCCGGCCTCCCCTCCAGTCTTGTTCCAACCCCTCCACGTGCCATCTAGCACTAAAACAAAACAAAAAATTGGCTTTAGATATATGGGGCTATAGGTTCACCTAGAAAAGGTTTTCATGTTTTTTTGCTGTGCTGCTTATTGCTTTTATTGTCATTGCCCCCGGCAATATCTCAAACCTTGTCTCAAAGTATTACCCTAACCGTCCCCTCCGCTCTTCCCAAGACCTCCTGCTTTCCAGCTCCCTTGTCAACTCCTCCCATGCTCGCCTCCTGGACTTCCATAGAATGGGAGAGACTCTAGAGAACTCTTTACCCCAACCTGTCCATCTATCTCCCACTCTGACTGCCTTTAGGCAATCCCTTAAAGGAGAACTATGGGGTTAAGGCTTTTCCCCATACTTCTCCTTAGGGTAACGGGAGGACACAAACTAGCGTCCTCCCGTCACCCTAGGCTCAGTATACCGCGGATCCCGACAATTATGTTTGACATCTTGTCTTGAATTGTATTGTGATTGTAATGTCTTCCTTATATTGTAAAGCGCTGCGCAAACTGTTGGCACCATATAAATCATGTATTATAATAATGTAATCAGTGTCCTAGCAACCAATGATGTCAAGGGTCCTTCTATACAGTTATTGGTTGCTAGGATCTTTTGGACGGTCCTAACAACCAGTGACAAATGTCTTCCCGCCCCCAGCATTACGGACGTCCTCTTGTGTCCGCCCTCTCCTGTACAGTAGCTGCAGGTTTGTGCCGCATGTGGGGACAATAAGACTTTATTCAGAGCCCGTTTACACCTATGCCATGCGTTACTTTCACAGCTCTGTGTGTTGCACTGTAGCGTGCATTAATCACATGAGAAACTGGGGCTGTTGTGGAGAGTCAAACCAGCAGGTTGTATTAGTTAGGCCCTCCACAACAGTCCCAGTTTCTCATGTGACCCCCTTGAGAAAATGATTTGGTCACCCCTGATAAAAAATTGATGTTCCATGAACTTGGGGATTCTGAGCTGGCCCTGACTTTCATTGAGATGAGCAGACAGCCGCAGAGCATTGCGCCACAGTATTACAAGTATATACAGCTAACTCCATGTACATACTGTAAATACAAACTGCACAACATTTTGAGAAACATAATACCTTCAAGATTCTGTAAGGCCCAACTCTAATCAAAAGTACATTTAAAGCATATAAAAGTCAGAACCAAGAGAGCTTTAATATAGAGTGACGTTTTATGTTAAGATATTTATTATATATTTCTTACCATGCGAGTCCCTCTTGAGGGGTTTTACATCTTTTTCATGTGATGGGTGTCAGACAGAACAGGAAGTGACAGGCAGGCCAAATAAAATAAAAATGCAATCTCTTCCCAGCAAAAAAAAAATGTTTTTCCTTGAGTTGTGCTTTAAAGTGACACTAAACTCAGGAGTTCAACCTTAAAAATACATTCAAGTACTTTAACTATTAACAAAAATGCCATCCCACCTCAACCATCACATTCTCAAACAATTCATCCCCACACAGCCACCTCCTCATGTATCACTTCCCCCTCCCTTTTAGATTGTAAGCCCTCAGGGGCAGGGCCCTCCTCACCATCTTGTCTTGAATTGTATTGTGATTGTAATGTCTTCCTTGTATTGTAAAGCGCTGCGCAAACTGTTGGTGCTATATAAATCCTGTATTATATTAATTAAAATGTTTATCACTCGGCTGTAGATCCTCCAATCATCTCTGAATTGGTGCTGACACTGTCCTTCCTTCTGGAGGGGGGCTACTTCTGTTCCCCATGGTCCCTGTGTGTGTTGTAAAGTAGTCACCGCTCTAAGCTCACTCCCGGGATGGACTACAATCTCAATACAAATTAATAAACTAAATGTGAGATTGTAGTCCATCCCGGGAGTGAGCTTAGAGCGGTGACTACTTTACAACACACACAGGGACCATGGGGATCAGAAGTAGCCCCCCTCCAGAAGGAAGGATAGTGTCAGCATTGATTCAGAGATGATTTGAGGATCTACAGCCGAGTGATACACACATAAGGTCTGGCATTGTTAATAATTAAGACACTTGAATACATTTTTAAGATGTAACTACAGAGTTTAGTGTCACTTTAAAGCCAACAGCAAATTTGAGGCTGTTCCATGAGGAGCTTGGTTCATTTCATTGAATGAGGACAGGTTCACTTTAAAATACCTGTCTCCTGTGTGACCAATGGAGAGCAGCTTCATCCTAATATTTATAACTCTCTCCCGTCCTCCTGCTCTTTTCTACACCCCTCTAATCAATGTGTATAATACACCCCCCTCATCTTAAAGTGTATCTAAACCCAAGAACTAACGTGTTTATACATTGCAGTTTACCCGTCCTTAGATGTGTGGTGACTGCATTAATTTACTGTTTTTGGCTGTTTAATCCTATATTTTAATTTGTTGATCCTACCAGTGACTCACTTCCTGTTACAACTCTGACTCAGTGCACTGTACTTATGGAGGAGCAGCGTTGTCACCTTAGAAAAGGAAGTGTTTACAGACTACATACTTGCCAACATATTAGTCCAAGTGCCCGGGACACCTTCATCAACAGCCCATGGCCAATAACACCTGACGCACCCACTCTATGTGCAAAACCACCTATATATATGTATGAGCTGCCTATAGCAGAAACGATCCCCTCAGTCAACACCCTTTTTTTGAGTTACTGTGATCTTGAGACACAGCATCATTGTGATAGAAGACTGAGATGGGGAACTGTCCCAAAAAATCATGGCAAATCCAGGACCTTTGGCATCTCCATAACATAGAGATAGGCAGGGCCGGATTTCCTACAAGGCCAACCGAGGCCCAGCCTCGGGGGAGCAGGGGTGTTGAATTCCTATCTCCCAACCCTCTGGACATGCACTTCTGGGCGCCGGACGGGTAGTTGTCTTCTACATTTAGCCCTGCTTTGGGCAAGCAGGGCTAAATGTACAGCGGGGAAGCCGCTGCTTGTTTTGTAAAAGTGATCTCGGTGAGGTCGCCAAGATCACTTGTATGCAGCCTGCAGGTCTGCCATTCTCCATAGGGGTGGGGGGTTTGGCGGGTAGGGGGGTACATTGAGGAACCTGGCATTGCGGCAGCAGAGACAGTAAATCCGGCCCTGGAGATAGGTGTTCTGTAGTCCACTGAACTGAACTGGGAACAATGCAAGTGATGAGAGGGCAGCACAGGAAGTTATCAGCCCACTAGTTTTCTGGCGGGATCAACAGCTATTTTTTTTTGCACTTACCTAACAAATATAAAGAAACCTTTTCAATGGTGAATTAAAAAGACCAAAATGAAGCAAATGAGAGAAGTTGATTGTTAGGGATTACATACGCTTTAAACTTTAAACATTTTATGACTCCAGCTCCGCTTCTCCTGTCAAACACATGGCTATTATTTGCTCTTTCATTCCTTTTGAACGCAGCACAACTCTCAGTGCTGAATAAAGCATAAAGAAAGCAACTGAGAAAAGAAAGTCTGTTTATAGATATAAATTGGGACTTGGAAAAGTCATCATTTTTCTGAAGAAGAAGTAAGCTTTTGGTTTGGTAGGTGAGGCCCAACGGACCTTGTGTCTTTTGAACTGGTGGCATGTTAACCAAAGATGACTGCCTAAAAAAAAAAATTGCAGACCTATCTGGTCCAAGACCATGAATGAGGAGAGTGGTGAAACACTGCAAGTCCTCCACGAATTCCGTCGATGGGCTTGAAAGAGTGGAGAAGGTGCTGGTTGTGAGAAGGTGGAGATTAGGAGGAGGAGGAGAGAGAACAGACAGAACAGTCCTAAGTCAGAGAAGAAGGTAAGCAAGGAAAAAAAAAAAGAAGCAGATTAAAGATCAGGATTAGGTGACCGGCTATGTCCATCTCTTCTATAACGCAGACACAAGCGCCATTTGGATATCTCGAGGAATCTTCAGCTTCCCAACGAAAGTTCAGAGAAAGTCCAAACGCAATAACGTTTGGTGAATAAAAGATGTTCAGGTGAGAGATTCATGCATGACTTCTTGTAGAATTAAAAAAAACCTATAATGATCTGCAATAAACGAACTGAACTGTAACAATGTTCCTTTGTAACCGGTAGGATGGAGGCAGGAGAGGATTTCATGACATTTTACTTAACAATAGCACTGCCTTTCCAGACTTATTATTATTATTACTATTATATGGTAACATAAAAACAAAATAAAACATTTTAAATTGAAAAAAACATTTACAAATTACAATTAAAAATATATATTTTTTTTTTTAATTTGAAAATGTTTAATATAATATTATTATTTGTAATATTTTTTCCTTTATTTATTTTTCTTTATATTTGTATAAGCTCCTAAAAATAAAAACCATCCCACCAAGATACATAAAAACCAATAAAAACCTATAGACCCAATGACGCTGTTACATTATACAGATACCCCCTGCCATCCTGTCAATTGATATATACAGTATTTTTTGTTGAACACGATAGATGACTTAAAATCTGTTACATCCCTAAGTAAAAAAAGTCAGCAGAAAATTTTATATGTAAGTCTTAGATAAATGTTATTTTAAAAGTCGTGTGTTATCCCTATTTGGTGGGCAGATTATTTTTGCTTGTGTTCGATCCAAATGTTAATTCTACTCACGCTTTTATAGTCGACTAAAACTACACATATTCACAGCTGTGCACTTTATAGGTTTGTCCAAATCCTACTTGACCTCCCTGTGGCCGTGGAAAATCCCTTGAGCGAGGCAAAGAGAAATGGTTGCTAGATTAGATCAAGAGGTCCAGATGGACAATGGCTGCTATATGCCTATGTCTCTTTGTTTTACTGTTTTAAATATGTACTAATTTGCCTTTTTTTATTTATTTTTATTAAATTGTCTACTCTTGTTTTTTATTTCTCGTTTCAAAATCCTTCTTCACTAGCTTGAGACCTGAACGATGATGTCCACCTACCTCTAAAGCTTGTGCAAAGTCACTATGCCTCGTCCCAACTCCTTACTTTTCCTTTCGAACCATCCTCGATGGAAGTTGCCAATATCTGCAGTCTTGTTTTTCTTCATAGTGATTCTATTACCAAGCGCTATCCGGACAACCACCTTTCGAATTGGCTTAGTAGGGCCCTGGACATGTGACCCACTAATAGCCAAAGCACTGCCCAATGTGGCAGCCCGGCTAGCCATCTCTGACCTAAACTCTGATCACACCCTTGCCTCTGGAATCTGGTTTGAGCATGTGTTGTTGCCTGAAGGATGTTCGGCACCGCGTGCATTTGCGTCCTTTGCGCTCATGGAGCATTCAGTGGCTGCTTTTGTTGGACCTGCCAACCCTTCTTATTGTTCTGCTGCAAATCTTCTTACAAAAGGATGGAATAAGCCAATGGTTTCTTGGTCCTGTATTGGAGTTCTCAGCCCGCTTCCACATCCAGCCCACATTCTCTATTCTGTACTAAGGTTTTTCCAATGGGCCGGAGTGGCTATAGTAATGGGCCCACAGGAATATTGGGTTGGAACTGGCAGGGATCTAGCCGACGCTCTCCGTAATTGGGGCCTGCCTGTGGGACCAGTAGTTACCATGGAGGAGGGTGAAAAAGGGGCAAGAGATGCCCTCAAGAGAGTCAAAAGAAGACGAAGAGTGAGAGGTAGGCATTTGTTCAAAAAATGTGTTTAAAATAGACCTGTGCTTTGCCCATGTAGGACCAAGCAAGAGGTTAACTTTAATGTCCCTCTACCCAGCATACCTGTCTTTCCTTCCTGCCCCTGCTTAGTTTAGCTCCTGGGAGCCAAGACAGGAAACCCCCTGTAAGCTCTGAGCCTTTCTTTGGAGCATACATGAGGTTGTGGACTATCTCCTCACCCACATGTGACAGGGTGTTTCAATCACCAAGCACCAGCTACATCACAAGAAGGACAGTGAGCCGCATGCTCTTCCATACCTGGAAGAAACGGGCATTTGCAATGCTGGTGAAGGGGGCCTTAGAGCAAACCTATTTCTTTGCCCTATTTGGGCCAGTTAGATTTAAAGTTGAATTCCTAAAAAATCTGAAACTTTAACTGGTATTTCTCTTTACTGTGAGCACCTTTTGCTATAGCTACCCATCAGCATGGATTTTTCCTGGCTGTTTACCGCTCTCCCTTTGTAGCTTCTTATAGTAAATCAGTCACAAAATTGTGAACTTTAAACTCAGCAAGTAATTAAAAAAAAAAGCATAAGCAGTGGTTACCTCCAGTGAAAGCCTCAAAAGATTGGCAGATCCAGAGATACATAAAGTTGTATGCAAATCTTGTTTTTTCCTGTTAATTTGGCCCCACTACTGCCGGTGTCCGTTAATCTGATTGGTGGTCTAACTTACCAACAGGAACATGTGGGAGGTGGAAACGGGTGGGACCAAGCTCAGCTGTTACAGGGAAATTCAAGGTTTCCATCTAATTTGGATGCAATGATCTACTGATTAGTTTGACAGTGGACCTAACCTTAAGTTATGCAATGTATTTTTTTTATTGTGTGCCGAGTTTGCATTTTCCTGGGTCATCTCCTCCTCACATTGATATGCCATGAGATATTTGCTGAGCATCAGAGAGTATTTTTTCCATTCAGGAGACCAACACAAACATTGTCATTACACCACTATGGAGCTTATGGGGGACAAAAACGCAGAAGAGGGGGAGCAGATATTTGACACACCTGTAGTGTAACTTCCCTCATAACTGAAACTTAACTCTTAACCACACCCTAAAAATAACACTAAACCTATGCTAACACCAGGGCTCAAAAAGTTGTGTGGGGGCGGCTTCTCTCCTCCTCACCGAAATGATGACAGCGCTCCCTCGTCCGTCCGTCCCGGAGGGGGGTCGCAGGAGGGAGCGCTGCCTGCTGTCAGGATGGCGGAGCGGTGGGGGGGAGAGAAGCCGTGCCCGCAGCTGTCAGGATGGCCGAGCGGGGAGGAGATCGGAGCCGCTGTCATCCTGTCAGTTTCAGGATGACAGCGGCTCTGTGCGTGGCAGAGCGGGGCATCGGTAAATATCAGTGATATTTACCGATCCTCCGTGTGAGAAGGACAAACACTGGAGCGATCGTCTGGTCACTCCAGTGTTTGTAAATAACTGGGGACACATAGTACTATGTGTCCCCAGTTATGAATGAACAGGCTGTGATTTACATGACAGCCTGTTCATTCAAGATTTCCTCAATGGGGAGAAGCACTCAGTACAGAGGCTCCTCCCCCTTCAGAAACTATTGATAGTAAATATTTTACTATCAGTGTCTGAATGAATGGCAAGCCTCTGTACTGAGTGCTTCCCATTCACTTGGTGCTGAGGCTGCTGAAAAAGAAATTGAGGATTTGGTGTCCTCAATTTCTTTTCTATTTTAAAAGGGAAATGTCAGGGGTTTGTTTGGACCCCTAATATTTCCCCCGAAGCCCCCCAACAGTAAAAAAAAAAAAAATGTATAATAAAAGAAAAAGAAAAACATATAATAAAATGTAAAAAATAATTTAAAAAAGTGAAAACTGCCCCTTCACACACACACACGCATATTATTAGACATGTGCGAAGACTAAAAATTAATTTCAGATGAAATGTGTATGTGTAATGCTCTTTGCGTTGTGCTGTGGCTGTATGTGTAATTCCCTGTGCATTGTGCTGTGGCTGTATGTGTGTTGTGCCCTGTGTGTTTGTTTTTGTGTTATGCAGGGCAACTGGTGGCGAGTAACTTTGAAGGCCTGGCTAGTAGGTCAGGACCTGAAATTTTGAGCCCTGCTAACACTATACCCTTAAGCTGAACTCCAGCCCTGCCTTCAGTCTTGCACACTTGTACCGGCTCTTCTACTGGACTGAAATTGCTCACTCTGATTTCACTGAACACAACTGAATAAAAAACTGGAGCAGACAGTTTTCTTATGGCAACCAATCAGCTTCTCTCTTCAGTTTGTTCAGTTAAGCTTTGAAAAGGAAAGAGAGAAGCCATGGGCAACTGCTCCAGATTCTGTCTGCTCCTGTGTGCGTTAGAAGCTGGAGCAAGTCAGATAGAGCCCATCTCATTTCCTTCCTGGAGATTGGTCAGCATCATCTAGCCTTTTCTTCCCTATCATCTTGCCCTTTCCTTCCCCGCCTAGTCATTCCTGGCCCATCCCTTTCATTGATTGGATTTATTTTCCTGCTGCTGGTACCTTAACAGAATGGACTACAATCTCATGTTTAGTTTATTAATTTGTTTTGAGATTGTAGTCCGTCCCGAGAGTGAGCTTGGAGCGGTGACTACGTTACAATACACACAGGGGCCATAGGAAACAAAAGTAGCACCCCTCCAGAAGGAAGGACAGTGTCAGCACCAATTCAGAGATGATTTGAGGATCTAGAGCCGAGTGATACACAAATAACCTCTAAATTATTGGATTTGGTATTTTGAAGAGCCAGTATGAAGTAAAAAGTAATAGTGTAAAAATGCACTTTTGGGTTTAGTCAATCTTTTTATTCTTTCTGAACTAGTCATGGGTCGGTATAACTGGCCGGGACCTGTTTTTTTGCCTACTTACTTTGTGTTTAAAGGCGTTCCTCTTCTACATCTCAGAAAGTTGGGAGGTAGGCCGATTCCTCTTCCTGTAACGTGGCCAGAGCTGACCTTGGTTGTCTTATGTAACACGACACGTGGCTTGTGAACATCCCTGCGGTAGAGATCAGATAGATCAAATCTAGGCGGCTCAAGGTATCACCTGTCTTTGTATGCACAGGTGCCTGAGGACGGCCCTCTGTTTGGTAACCTGTAGGTTACCAGAAGATGCTAATAATCCATTGCTAACCAGTCCACAGGGAGGTGGTGGCACTGTCAAATCAGCTGATTTTGGAGCAGACAGTTCAGCATGGAGTTATTGTATGTTGCTGCTAACATTTTTGTTGTTGATATATTATACAGTGCGATGTAGTTTTGGTGCAAAATATTCTCAGAGAGAATATTTGAGAGCCTCATTGTTTTATTACTTGTTGATCCTGCCAGTAGATTTTTTTTTTCTACCCCTAAAATGTGACAACGCTGCTCATTCTGCAGTGAAATTGTGCCGTACCATTGTCACCCCACGGAGAGGGAAGACTTCGATAGAATGGTAGTTTTAGCAAAAGACAAACAAATTAACGCCCAGGCCCAAATAACTAGACATGTGCGGCGGCTAAAAATTAGTTTTGTTTAGTTTCGGATTTCGTTTATTTCGTTTTTCGGAAATTCGTATCCTATATGTTAGGGATGCACAGATACTTTTCGAGTACCAGTGCAGATACTTGGCATTTTCATGAGAACTACCAGGGTTGCAGCGGTTACAGCTGGGACATGGCTCTGGCGCTCCAACACTATCCTGAAATCATTAGTCTGTATTGTTTTAGAAAAACTGTCACATGACAATAAACAAAAATGTATCAGTACTCGTACTCGCAAAACTGGTATCTGTGCATCCCTTTATTTATATTTATAAAAACAAAATTGTACGTTAAAACAGAGATGTACAAATGCCAGGAGCTCCGTGTGCTCCTTACAAATGGCAGCGGCCTCCTAACTTTTGAATTTTTCTCTAGTCTAGTCTTGGAGCTCAAAAGTATCGGTACATGTACTCGTACTTGTACCGAGTACTATACTCGGTATCTGTGCAACCCTACTATATGTGTTTCGTTTTGGGAATCGGATTCGGAATTCGGATTTCGGACGAATTTCTGAAAATTCAATTTGAGGTGGGGTAGCAGAATTGGCACATTTGTCATTTCTGGTTGCTGTGCTCTAGTTTTTACTATTAAAGGGACATTAAAATCCTTTTCTTAATTTGTTTTTATCCGTTTAAATGTTAACAATGCACGCACAGGATTTGGACGAAATTCGTTCCTAATCCGAAATTTCGCATCCGAAATTTCGGATTCGGATGCTTTCGCATGATTTCGGATATGTTATATTTCGGATGCTCCGAATCTACGAATTTCCAAAATTTCGTCCGAATTTCGATTCGGAACGAAACGAATCGCACATGTCTACAAATAACACTTATCACAGTTTATTATGGGTTGTCACAACACCTGTAGCTGGAAAACCTGACCTGTTACTGGAAGTGGAAAAATAAGGGATCTACTGGAAGGATCAACAAATAATAAAAAATGCTTTTTAAAGATGAACCCTGGGCACAAAATACTTCATTTGGATATATCCCCCAATTGCCACAAAGTATATAAATCCACTTTCTTTACACCAAATGCCTCTGCAAACCCAAATATTACCTTATACAATTAGCAGTGATATCATTACTGTACTGTACATTGACCGTCAGAGCCCACTATAGGCTGCCTGGAGAAAACTACAGGAGGGGGCGGAGGTAAGACCAGCCACCCTGCGCAAGTAGAGAGAGCTGCAGTGACCTGTCTTTATTAAAGGAGGGGCAGGGACAAGACCAGTCACCCTGCACAAGGAGAGAGAGCAGCAGTGAGCGGTCCTTATTACAGGAGGGGGCAGAGACAAGACTACTCACCCTGCATAAGGAGAGAGCGCAGCAGTGACTGGTCTTTATTACAGGAGGGGCGGAGACAAGACCAGTCACCCCACACAAGGATAGAGAGCAGCAGCGACCGGTCTTTATTACAGGAGGGGGCAGAGACAAGACCAGTCACCTTGCACAAGGATAGAGAGCAGCAGTGACTGGTCTTTATTACAGGAGGGGCCAGAGACAAGACCGATCACCCTGCACAAGGAGAAAGAGCAGCAGTGACCGGTCTATATTACAGGAGGGGCGGAGACAAGACCAGTCACCCCGCACAAGGATAGAGAGCAGCAGCGACCGGTCTTTATTACAGTAGGGGGCGGAGACAAGACCAGTCATCCTGCACGAGGAGAGAGAGCATCAGTGACTGGCCTTTATTAGAGGAGTGGGCGGAGACAAGAGCAGTCACCCCGCACAAGGAGAGTGACTGGTCTTTATTACAGGAGGGGGCAAGGACAAGACCAGTCACCTTGCACAGGGATAGAGAGCAGCAGTGACCGGTCTTTATTACAGGAAGCTCCAAGGTTCACACTGGATCCACTGCGTTCAGGCACTGGATCACAGAAATCAAGCCGGACCGTGTTCCAGGGCGGGAAGGGGCATGGCAGTGCCATTCATGTCAATGGCACCGCAGGCAGGACCCTCCACCCGCAGTGAGATCACCTGCACCGAAACGCGAAGTACAGGAAGTTCCTCCGTTCTGGTACAGTGCGATCGGACAGAATGCTGCATGTACTATTTTTTCCGATCGCACTGTTTCGGGGATCAGCGTCCTCTTCATGAGAAAGAGCCAATGCATTTTGGGGATTGTCATGATGAAGAAAATACAATGCATTTTGGAGATCAGAGCCCTCTTCATGAGGAAAGAGGACATAGACACTCATAATTCAGCACACAACAAATTTCGGTGTTTGTGAATTATTAATGAACCTGTAAGAAACAGATACGTGAATTTGTCGCTTGGAGGCCGGCACTGAAGATGGAGTGTTCATGCTGGGCACCCCATTCTCTGTGCAGCCTTGTAACATGGATCTTGATGAAATCACTGGCTTTGCGTTACTGAGCTCCCTGCTCAGCCATTGCTCCAGCCATACAGGCAGGCACAGCGGCCAAGGAAATGTGCTGTTGGGTGGGTGGGGCCTGATGGAGAAGCTGGAAGACTAGTTCCCCATCAGGTCTGCCTTCCTTGTGACTGTCAGCAGGTGACAGTGGGCAGATTCCATAGCTACTGGTGGTTTTGGAAACTGTTGACTGCTGTCAATGACAAGTTAGGTGGACCTGATGGGAATTCTGAGCATCAAATTACCCATCAGGACCACCTAACTTGCAATTAGGTGGTTATGCTAATGGTTATGAAATCCACCTGCTGCTGTCTGCTGTCAATTGCTGTCAAAGTGGTTAGACACAACTGATGGGGAAATAGTGTCTCAGTTTCCCCGTCAGGCTCTGCCCAACGTCAATCCAGCCCTGCGTCATTTGTTGCAAGGACGATGGTTGGTTGCCAGGACACTGGCGCCCACCAGAATCCTAGCAACCAATGACTTTCTGGCCCCATTCAGCTGCCAGCCTGGAGATTTTGACAGCTCAATGTAAAAAAAACGGGCGGGGATGCTGCTTAACCATGCTGCTTGCCATCATTAACCAATTATGGCATTAAACTTTCCACTGCTTTGGGCTGAGCAATCTTCCTGCATTGCCAAGTCATGTCCCATTTTACACACACCTCCTTGAATATCAACCCTTTTGCACACCTTTGTGTCAGAAAGATATAGCTTCCCCATCAATCCTTCAGTTATATTACTTACAAACAGATTAAATAGTACAAGACTTGTGGTACATCATTAGTGACTGGTCTCTGTTCCAAATGAACTCCATTTACAATTACACTCTACCCTTTAGCCAACTGGTTATCTACTGAATCATCCAAGGCTTAAGTCCTAGCTTGCACAACCTTTGTATGAAATCATTATGTGAAACTTTATCAACTCCTTTGCTGAAATAAAGACTAAGGTTGTGTCCACAGATAGACCCTTACCCAAAACATTTGCGGCTTAGTAGAAAAAAGAAGCCTAAGGCACTGACTGCTAGTTTAACCAGATTTGGAGTGATATTTTATGATGTTACTACTGTGCTACTCACTGTACCCCTTGCTGAAGAGGAAGCAGAGCCCTGTCTCTACCAAAATGGACACCTCCACACAGAGACACAGTGCAGGACAAAGCATGGTAAGTCACTAATGGGGAGAAGATAAGGTGCAGGGAGACCATAGACAATACTGGTGAATACTTTGTCCTCTGCTGGCCTTTTTTGTGCACAGCTTCCACAGTTTGGATCCTATTTAAAGAGACGTTGTAATTTCTTTTACCATTCAGGGCACGTAGCCCTCCCCTGGCTATGTAACAGAGTGGGGTTTCCAGATATGGGAATGGCCACGATCTGATACCGTTCCCTGTAAAAGCAAAGCCAATTCCACAGCTGTGGTCCAAGGACCGTGTTAAACCCTGGGGGTGTATTACAGGCCTCTCCTATATGAAAGTGCTGGGGCCTGGTTGGCCAACTCCCAGATTTGAACACTGTCACGTAGGGTGTGCCCTGATGTCAACCTCCTGTCTAAGCTCCAACACCACCTACACTGGAGTTTAGGCAGGGATGTAGCAGCGGGGAGGTAGAGAGAGAGCGCAACTAAGTATGTATACATGTCTGGGGGTGGTCAATGAGCAGACATTGTCACTTCAAAATAACCAAAGTGACAGTGTCTCTCTAATTACCCCAAGACATTGAGATGTTATTTCTCTTGATGTCTGTCAGTAGGGAGTGACTTGCATTGCTTATAGACTAAAGTGTATCACCCAGTCATAGAGAAAATAGTCATTTTGGGAGACCTATGTTTATGGGTACCTTACATGGTTGTCTGACTGCACAGACCTAGGGCTAAAGTAGCTCATCAGAATTTTTTTTAGAATAAGATTGTCTTGCATATGCATTGTATCTGACAAATGTTCTCCAATTTTGTAGTGGTGGTGATGTGCATGCACTCTGTGTTGCTTGGTGGTGAGGACCAACGTCAGCTTCTAGAGACAGCCCATGAACTTCGCATGACAGATGGTTCTGTGGTATTCATTCCTTATGATACCTTGCAGTTCAGTCTTCCTTATGACCGCCCCTTTCCCATCTTTACAAACAAGACCAGGCTTCGTCGGGCCTATGATGCTGTGCTCACCATCACTGTCACCTCTCAGCATGGAAACTTCTATCAAACATTCCAGGATGCAAAATCCAATAAAGAGATACCACGAGATCTTGACCCAATGGAGGTAATGTTACCCGTCTTCAAAAAAAATGCTCATATACCCTCTTCTTATGCTCCTGTCCATCGTATAATATTTTGGTGGAAATTTATTATTCAGAAGAAAAAAAGCATTACAGGTGCACCAAAACAAAAGTTGTGCAAAGTCTTTGTTCACACTAGCCACACGCATATAACAATCAGTTTTGACATGTGGGCTAGTGTCTGCTGTGTACCAGTGGCGGGGAAGGGGTGGGGGGTTGGGGGTTGTACATTGCATTGTTAACTTTTTTCTTTTATTAACTTTATTACAATGTCAAAATGACCTTAATTCATATGTACCACAAGATTGTGACATCAGATGAGCTCCAGAGCAAAAACTGCAACCCACCTAAAAGCAGCATTGCAGCATGGACAGGGCACATAGTACACAATTGTTCCCTTGCTGAGGCTGGTGTTAATCAAGTCACCACACATAGTGTGAATGGGCCCTAAGACTTTGCAGATCATTTGTTTTGATGCACCCGGAATGTTTTTTCTGATTTAAGGTGAACTTCAATAGGGATTGATCTACTTTTTTAAAGATAACTGTATGTTTAAAACACATTAGAGCTTTTAATGGGAAACAATAACGGTTTGGGTAATTTTTATTTATCTTTTGTTTTTGAGCTTCTGCATTTTTAAACTCATGTTCTAAACGTGTGTATACCTAGGTGTCTCCACTCTTTGCAACCATTTACAACTCCATCTACCTCATGGCCAGAGTTATCGAGAAGGCCTACGGATCAGGACAGAAAGTCACCACCAGCTCTACAGAACGACTTTCTCGGAACCTACAGCTGGAGGGCTTTGGGTACCCAATCACCTTGGATGACGATGGAGACTCGGATACACCCTATGTAATTCTGGATACAGATGGAGAAAGCAGGATACTGACACCTGTGTACACTATTAATTCAGCCACGAGAGACCTTCACTACCTGAGGAAAATCCACTACCCTTTCAACTACCACCCGGGCACTGATTCTGACTGTTGGTTTGACCGAAGCTCAATCTGCATCGGAGGTAGGTCCATGTGTGGATACGTGCCATACAACTATTAATCAATCCTTATCTTCCAACCAAGAGCTCCTATTTTAGCAGGACTCCTTGAATTTTTGGATCTCGGCTTCCCAAAATTTCTTATAACGGTATACACTGAGTGGCCAGATTATTATGACCACCCCATCATTACTTCGTTGGGCCACGAGATGACTCCATGAGATGACTTTGTTGGGCCGCCTCGTGACTCGAGATGTTGCAAGATGATGCGAGGAATCTGACACTGCACTGTTGCCCTTCTGTTGTCTTGTACCAGTCTAGCCACTCTCCATTCTGCCCTAACATTGACTAGTCGCTGTCGGCCACAATTCGCACGTTCAGACCTAGATTTTCGGCTGACAGTCCAGTCTTTAAACACTTTAACAACAGCTGCTCTTGAACATTTAACGAATTCTGATGTTTTGCTGATACTCGCTCCATGGATCCGAGCGCCAACAATCATCCCACGTTCAAAGGCTGTTACATCGCGTTGTTTACCCATATCTTCAGAAAAAAATCACTTCTACGCGAAACTATAGCTAATTTGCCTACAAACGTCAGGTGGTCATAATAATCTGGCCACTCAGTGTATATTGTACCAGTGATTTTGTTTAAAAATGCAATAGTATATTGCCAAAAGTCAAGAAGAAGCATACAGTGCTCCATTGCCATCCAATGCTTTATAGCTTCTATAGCTTATCAACCACTTTCAAATAGCAGTAAAAAGAAAGACTGAACCGATCCAGGCTACGTACTGCCAGCAGTTTCCTTTAAGCCTAATTGAAGTTGGAAAAACATATATACATATAAGAGTATCTCAGAGGGCAATATTTTTTTGGGGGAGAGGGAGTCATGTCAGATGACCTTGCAGTCATTACATCCAAATGGTGTAGCAGCAACTGAGTAACAAGGAATTTTGAGCCTCCACTAAGTGGGAGTGGGCATTCTCGCCCTTAGTGTCTAGTGCCTCCACCCAAAAAAAGTATTGTAGATACAGGATGGTCTCCTTCTTATGACATTCCTAGTTCCCAGGATAGACACACTTACTTGCCCTTGAAGGACAGTAGGTTCACATCTGAAGTCGTTTTCAATGCTTTACTTGTGCATGGAAGTAGGACAGGAGGACAAAGGAAGTGAAATACCCAAAAGGTACATGGAGCTCCTACTGCTTCTTTGCAAGCAATTAACTGGTTGGAACTTAACATCCAAAAGCATCAGACAGAACTTTTTCATGTGCACATTAGCCCCGCAAAACAAGTTGTTTGAGTGTAATTCTGTTCCAGTGATGAGTTTAGCACAATATCTTCTTAGGCCCGTATGGCCTGTCTTCTTAAAGAGAGGGGCGATACCCTCTAAGCCTGGGCTCCAGCCCTGGGGCATAAAACCAAGCACACAGCCTACATCACAACCACCCTCTCCCAACAAGGAGGGTTAACAAAAGACCTTTCCAGAACATTGCCTCCCTGTTTTGTTCAAGCTTGGTCCAACTTACTGTTTATATATATATAACTTATATATATATCTATATATATACAGGGCTTGAAAAATTTGGCGGTGTCTCACCAGTCAGTCAAAAATGTCACCAGTCATACATCACTTCCTGCATTCGGGGACTGAGAGGAGATCAAAGGGAGTTCGTATACTGAACTCCCTTTGATCTCCTGTCACAGAGCCGTGCCGGTCCCGGCCGCATCGGGCACAGCGGATCTCGGGACCGGCAACGGCAGTGACAGCTTCTGACACAAGCGATCGAGCGTCTCTATAGACGCTCGATCGCTTGACTGTAAAGCTCCCGGCCGGCCGTGTAATTACCGCGGCCGGCCTGGAAGCTGCTCGTCGGGCTCCACTGTCTGCTCGTCACAGACGAGCAGACGAGTGGATTTTCGAGCCCTGTATATATATATATAACTTACTGTTTAGAAGCTCACCAGGGGTGGTCTATCTGACAAAACAAACAGGATGCTCTGTATCCATTCCTAATACAGGATACTGGAACTTTCTAAACAGAGCGACCAGCAGGTGAAGTTATACAGATCACCCCTCTGCAAGACAAAACACAAAAATTAAAGTAATACAAAACACAGCAAGGGAGCCCAAACCTATACAAAGAGAGTGGTCCTCTATGCAGCCTGAAGGGCAGAGGAAGATTTCCTCTTTTGGGACAACTATCACTTTCTGTCTTAGTGACAGTGGGTCAGCAGGACAAATAGGGAGGGTAAATTTACCTTGGAGGTTCAAACCCTTCATCATTCTAAAATGTAAAGTTTTTGAGAGATCATTGAATGGTTACAACCAATTTTAGCTTTATATATACTTTAAACCTATGACTGTAAGCTTGGTGGTTCACAAATTCTGCAATTTCACTCAAGTCTTCTACAAACTTAAGTGTATCTAAATTAAATATTGAGAAAGGTGGGCTGTGACTCACCACAATGTCAGTGCAATAAACATATTTGCATAGCGCATTTTTAATCATGGGATTTAAGGTGCTCAGCTTTTCCAGGACACATTGATGAGGCCCAATGGGGTCACCAATGCCAGCAGGAAGCAGCCAGTAGCTGGGAGTCTAAGGTAAGTATTTTTCCCTTTTTATATTCCATTTTTTTTAAATATTCATTTTGTATATAACTTTCCTATTTTATTTCATCCCAAAACTTACCAATAACTTACATCCATGTAAACCAGACCACTATGGGGTCAGTTTTAGAAAGGATTTGCTGTGCAATTCACACAGTGAATATTTGCTGAACATTCGTATTTAACAGAATTCACCCATCATTTTCAAAGACAATTCTGTTCAATTATCTTTCATGTGACTGTCGATGGTTGAACCTTGTTGAATGTGATGGGTGAATTCTCTAAGACTTTGTGAAAATGCAAGACCTGCTTATTTCTTGACACCCCACAATAAATAGCTTATTTTCAATCTACCTAAAATATTGCAACAGTTTCTCAGCGTGTTAGGCAAAACTATTGGAAAATGATACTTGCGATGAAGAAAGCTGCCTTTCTAAGTAGACCTGTTACATAGCCCTAATTTTATTCACAGGTGTGGATCCAGCCTTTGTGTTCCTCCTCTTTATCCTCATTGCGAGCTTCCTTTTCTCTGGAGGATCACTTGCGTTCTACATAAGGTACGGTGCTGTATCTGTCACTGTGTGTGTATTATTACTATATTATTATTATAATACAGGATTTACTGCATATAGCACCGGTTTGCACAGTGCAGATAGACACTACTGGTCTGTGGTCAATAAAGGAACAATGGTTATGGATTTTAAGGAAAACTGTCATTAAAAAAATAACATAGGCTTCAATTTTCCAGCCTGCTTTTGAACATACTGATCCATTGGCTTCAATTACAACAGGATCATTCACAAGGCAACCTAGCCAGGAACCTAGCGTTTGATGGATGTCTAGGAGACCCACATACAACCTTTATGTTTCTGCATCCACCTGTCATTACTTGTAGACAGTTGGTGTCTGATGGAGAGACAATGCAAATGCTGCAGTGTCCTTGTGCCTTTTGCAAACCTTATTGATGTCAATCGAAGGGATGTGGGGACCAAAGCAGCTACCCTGCCCATTTGGACTTAATGTATCTCTGGGTTCAATGCTTTCTGAATTACAGACCTGGTCTGCATACTCACACAAACTCTCAAATAAATTAAAGGAGAACTATGAGGCGAGTGAAAATCACTCAGCCTCATAGTTCTAGCCAACCTGTGACAATGAAACGGTCACAGGTCAGCTCAATAGATCGGGAAGTGAGCAAACACATTGTGTCGCTCGCTCACTTCTCGATCCTGTCCCTGCAGAGAGCCGTGACTGTCACTCACGGCTCCCTATAGGGATTACCCCCCTCCCCTGTCCGATCCTCCAGCGCTGACTGGTGGAACAGACGGCGGAGGGTACAGCTGGCTCTGCCTCTAGATAGGCAGAGCCAGCTGTCACTCACGCAGCTGGGTGAATCCAGACAGTAATGCCTGGATTTGTCCCGGCTGCAGCGTCTCAATATACCGCGAGATGTAGCTTGCGGTATACTGAGCTTTGGGTGACGGGAGGACGCTAGTTTGTGTCCTCCCGTTACCCTTAGGAGAACTATGGGGAAAAGCCCTGACCCCATAGTGCTCCTTTAAACTATTCAGATCAGATGCCCTAAGGTTTTACTGGTCTCATGCTTGTCCTGAGCCAGTCACTCTCTACGTATAGATGCAAGATTCAAGTAGACCTTGCAAGAGAAAGCGTCCAACCCCACTTTATAATTTGCTGTATGAACAAAAAATGCATCTGTGGGGACAAAAGAGTCTATACTTACCTTAACCCTATCTTCTGCAATGCGGGGGGTGAAACTATCCTCCTGGCGAGATTCCCTGGGAATGCTGAGTACCCCAAATCTCACGAGATGATGCTCTAGCACAGTGCAGGGTTATTTTATGAGATTTGCAATCCCCATACTTCCCCAGATTTCCGCAGAGGTTACCCTTGCCTGGGTACCGATAGCTGGGGTGAATATATATTCTATATTTAACATTTTTCCCACTGGTGCATTTCTATACATACTTCACATATCATTTTTTAGGGGGGTCTGAGGTACTGCATGGACCTTGCTTTCTAGGAAGAGAGCCATGGAAAAACAAAAACTGGTCAGTGATGACAACTCTCAGGTTCCCATTAAAGATAGTAAAGTGACATCAGATATGATAGAACCCTAGGTATTCTTTCAAAGCGGCCCAAAAGCTGAAGAGCACAATATGGAAAATTGTACATGGAGCTGTGACCTACCTCTTTCCATGCTTTGCCCCTCACTATTGGTCAGAGGCTGTCAGGGTTATTTACAAAAGGGTGAAGAGTTTGGAGGAGGCAGAAGAAGTGAACCATCTAGGACAGGGATGGCCAAACTGCGGCCCGCCAGCTGTGGTGGAACTACGAATCCCATGAGGCTTTGCAAGATTCTCACAGCCACAGACATGACTCCCAGAGAGAGATGCTTCATGGGATTTGTAGTTTCACTACAGCTGGAGGGCCGGAGTTTGGCCATCCCTAGTCTAGGACAACATAACTGAGCTGGAAAGTGAGCTGAATTGGAGAATTTTTCCAAATCAACTATGTTGGCCTAGATTGTTCCCTTCTCCTGCCTTCTCCAAACACTTCACCCTTTTGTGAATAACCCTGTGTGTATCATTTCGAGGGATCTATATGGAATTGCAGGAGGTGGTGGCATTGACCCAAGCTGGTACTACAGAGCACCAAGAGTATAGGTTCAGTGTCCCAAGTTTTTGGGGTTACTGGCACTCTGGAAGTACACTAAGGTAAGGGTATATGTTTTTTATGTGTGAGTTGACTTTAGTATGTTTAAGATCAGGTCTGGTTTGCTTTGATTTAGAAAGCTGAGCCAAATAGAAATTAAGAGGTGGTGGAAGCATACCAAACAACCACAAAAGAGAAAAAGAAATGCGATGTTGGGGAATAAAAATCAGGGTAATTTCTGGGAACAAAAGATATCCTGGGCAGATCTTTGAGACAGGCAACTTATTACACAACTTTACAAAAATGTGCATCCCAGACAGAGCTCAAATGTAAAATAAATAAATAACCAAAAGCAAAAATATGAATTTTGATCTTGTGCATTTTAATTTTTGTATTGCAGGAGAAGACTTCAGCAAGCAAAACTTATGAGAGGTCCCAATAAAATTATTCTAAACATGGGGGACTTGGTATTTATCTACACACAGAGCAAAAAGGTTAGGACTCTATGGCTGGTGGGTGGTCATCAATCGGATTGTCTAAGCAAAATCCAAAAAGAAATTCAGGGGATTGCTAATGGTTAACATGAAGGGAATAAATATGTGTTTCAGTTTTTGGTCCTCTTTTTGCACCGTTATACATCCATGACTCCATGATATCGATCAGTCATGGCAATCACATCAAGTTGGCCTTGTTGCATCCAAGGATACATCATAATACAATAATAGGGGAGGGAAGAGGAATGCTGCATATAGTTGTAAGGTTGTTTAGGGTTAAGGTAAGATGATCCTCACCTTGCATCTATTACATCCACTTCTCTGCAGCACTAGGAAAATTAGAAGATCCTAAGTCTCCACTAAGTCAGAGTTGCAGAAATTTCCTGATGTTCTAAATCTTGAGTACCTCTGTGTAAGGGGCCATGAAATAACAACTGGGACTCCCCTTTAGGATTACCATGTCCCTAGGATGGGTCACTTACTTGCTCTTGCACATGAATGCAGTTCAAGATTTAAATATATCGTTTTAACTCTTTAATTAAAACTTAGGTAGGTAGATAGGGCAAAAAAGAAGTGGAATGCCCAGACACTTAGGGGTTCCTTCATTTCCTTGGCACCCAGGAGCATTATGCACAATCTACTGGAGCATAGCAGACAAAAAACAGGAAGTTTGTGTTTTACTCCTTTCCAGCTTGCTGACTCAAGCAGGAGTCTCCCACATGTCCCACACACAGACGCTCTAGAACCAAACTCCATTCCAGAGGGCTTTCTCCAGTCACATGGCCTTCTCAAAGGAGACCTTTTCCCCACAAAGCATTTCCCTTTGGAGAGCCGACTAACAAAGGTCTAGTTTTTTCCCCAAAGGGACGACTTGACAATAGATTCTTCCAGATCAGTGCCTTTCTATTTTGTCAAAGCTTGGTCCAACCCACTAGTGACAAACTTTACCAGAAGTTGACCAGCTGACAAAACAGACAGGACTCTCTGTAGCCACCCCTGACACACGGGTCTCCTCAACAGGGACTGGTAGGTTATGTAGTACAGATTGTCCCTGGTTCTCAGGTTCCACAAGAGGGCCTGCAAACATACAAAACACCAACAAGGGAACACATTCCTACATAGTCAGAGCAGTCCATGGGAGGAGTCAATTGTTCTGCTGTAGAATTTGATTATAAAAGTAGGTTCATAACAGGTTAAGCATCCATTGGATTCATTTCAGGAGACAACAGTATTGATGTGTGACATAAAACATTGAAGGCAGTGTACAATTATTAATACATTGTAAAACATTTTCTTTGTTTATTCACATTTATAAGAATTATCATAAATTCATAATGTATTATTATAATGTTCTGCCAGCAGTGGAACTCTAGTCCCCATGGCATTCCAGGCCAATCTTATCTGCTTTGTTAACAATGCCTGTTGGTTAGAGAGCTCAATAGCTTGAGCTCAAATTAAGCCCAGACAGTTGAACGTGTCAGTGGAGCGCTGTTGACAGAACTTCTATATATTATAGTGACACTTGTCAGACGTAATCACAAGTTAATATTCTGTTTTTATTCACTTTCAAGGGAATGGATAGTGTATCATATGCATATACCGTAAATGTATATGAGCGAAGAGGTAGGTGGTGCATGCCCATAAGGGTGTAAAGTTGATGGTGTTTATGAACTGCTGCTGATACTGCTGATACCAAACAGATGTGCTTCTGAATAGGAGATCTGGGAGGGAGTAAACACTGAGAAGCAGAGCAGACAGGGAGATAGTGGAGGCAGGGGGCTTGGTTGAAGGTGTGGAGGGGTATCAGGCCTCCCTGACCCACAGGAGTCTCTCTCCGGGTGTGTGGCTGTCTGTCTCTTATCACCCTAGATTTTTGTTATTTAAGATTTTTGAAAAATGGCTGCGTGCATAGGTGACAAGTTGTGCCTCTTAGGCCTTCTCTGCTGCTTCATGTAAATAGGTTGCGGATCTTTAAAGGAGAACTATGAGGTGAGTGATTTTCACTCATCCTCATATTTCTAGCCGACCTGTGACAATGAGACTGTCACAGGTCGGCTCAGTAGATCGGGAGGTGAGCGAACACATACCGGCGTTCGCTTACCTCTCGATCCTGTCACGGCTCTCTGCCGTGACAGGGGAGTGGCTGGATTCCCCGCTCCGATCCTCCAGCGCTGACGGGTGGAATGGACGGGGGAGGGGGCAGGTACAGCTGGCTCTGCCTCTAGATAGGCAGAGCCAGCTGTCACTCACGCAGCTGGGCGGATCCAGACATAATTGTCTGGATCTGCTTCAGCTGCGGCATCTCAGTATACCGCGAGCTGTAGCTCGCGGTATACTGAGCCTAGGGTGACGGGAGGGCGCTAGTTTGTGTCTTCCCGTTAACATAAGGAGAACTATGGGGAAAAGCCCTAACCCCATACTTCACCTTTAAGCTTGAGTCTATTTATCCAGTGACGAGGCTTTATTGCCTGTCTGTATATATGTATATAACATGGAGGTGTACTATATATTTATATTTTGATTTCTGTTCAGTTAATATTATGTTTATAGTAATTCAAGAATCACTGCGCTAGGTGTGAAAACTAAATAACTAAATAATTAGTTCGACCAGCCGCAACTATGTGTGTGAGTGAACTTATTATATCGCAAGTGAGTTGCGCTCGGTCTCGACAAATATAAATAAAATAAAATATGTGTGCCCTATAGGACGTGAAGAAGTTACTAAGTTCAGATTCTACTGTGAAAAAATTATAAATCTCGGTAGTCACTACCTCGGTAATAATTGTGCAATACAACAATCAGGTGTGGGAAAAGGGTTTTCAATCACCAGCCGGTGTATTGATTAGGTGTTTCTGTGTACTAAGTGTACATGGTTTGTCCAAACAAACCTCTTAATGATGTGACAATCTATTCAAAGACACCAATCCAAATATAAATGACTCGGTGTCACAGATTGGTCGTGTATAAGAAAAACAAAAACAAATTCTAAAATCCCAATCTCTAAATCGTGACGAATTTTAAATATAGTACGAACACTTAAATAATA